AAACTAACTACTAACTAACTAACTAACTAACTAACTAACTAACTAACTAACTAACTAACTAACTACTAACTACTAACTAACTAACTAACTAACTAACTAACTACCTACTAACTAACTAACTAACTAACTAACTAACTAACTAACTAACTAACTAACTAACTAAACTAACTACTAACTAACTAACTAACTAACTAACTAACTAACTAACTAACTAACTAACTAAAACTAACTAAAACTAACTAACTAACTAACTAAACTAACTAACTAACTACTAACTAACTAACTAACTAACTAACTAAACTAACTAACTACTAGCTAACTAGCTAGCTAGGCTAGCTAGCTAGTTTTAGTTAGTAGTTTAGCTAACTAGTTTTTAGTTAGTTAGTTTTTAGTTAGTTTCTTTAGTTAGCTAGCTAGCTAAACCCTAACTAAACTAACTAAACTAACTAAAACTAACTAACCCCTAACTACTAACTAACTAACTACTAACTAACTACTAACTAACTAACTAACTAACTAACTAACTAACTAACCTAACTAATTACTAACTAACTAACTAAAAACGCCCCCCCCCCACACACACACACACAACCAAAGACCAGCGATTTCCTTGTTCTTCCAATATTTTTAATCTGAAAGTTTTCATGTTTAGGTTTTAAGTTAATGTAACAAGGTTCGTTGTCCTGTATCGTTATTGGCATAGACATTTTTTTTTACCCCTGGGTAGGCTATTTGAAACCGTACTATTTTAACATGTAACTATAGAAATGGCTGGAATATCTTAGATTAAATAAAGATTGCGTGTTTAATCAAACAAAGAAGATGTGAGGGAATTAGCAATTGTTGAACCAGACTTACATTTTGTGAGAAATATCAAGATTATTTGAAGGAATGATCAATTTCTGAGTGACACTCTTATGGTGTGGAAAGTATAAATACAGCGGGAGGGAGTCACCAGTTGTTGAGTAACACTGAAAAGATGTTAGGAAGATGAAGAAAGTGTCAAGGCGTCCACGGTGTTTGAATAGCACTGAAATAATGTAAGAAATTTAAAGGATCTGTGACTGAGTCATCAGTTTTTAACCATACTGGCGTAGTATGAGAAGGATAAAGATAATACGATTGAGCCAACAACTGTTGAGTCACACTGGAGACTTGTGAAAAAGATCAGCAACATGATAACATTGTAAACTTAAAAAAAAAAAAGGGAGTGAAGGTCACTTATCGCCACACTAACGAATCAAGCGGAAAAACGGTCCTGTATTGTTTATAGCTACAACATACTTGAGACTGATTTAAAAAAATTATTAATGGTTCAATGGTTAGGCCACTCGCCTACCGACTCTACTGGTATTAGTCATGGAAAGACGGGATAAATTCGCTTCTGTAAGCGGTCCGGACAAAAGTAAGCGTTAAAACGTAACTAATACACTGGAGATGGTATCACTTGATATTTTCCTTTTGATCGCTTCACAATTGCATGCGCGCGCAGCTAGAATCGTAGTATTAGTACTGGTAGCTGTCACACGTTATAGCGTCTGCTTGAGTGGCGTTAGCGAGTAGTGAACTGATTAATACTGTTAACACGTTTTACGATCTCCAAAAAACGTGTTTCGTAATAAATAGTAAATAGTAATATTATACAGTGAAAAAATATGAATTTATTTATTATTATTATTTTCGCAATGGAAGTTGCAAGCGGCATTTACAGCAGGGGCAGGCCAGATTTCTAGAAACTTGATCCGGACTGACTAGGTTGAAGTAGTCTAAACTGGGTGCCAGAAAATGTTCCACCAAGTAAAAATAGTTAGGTTTCCATATCATAACCATCATCAAGTGCCTTGCCAGCTGGCGTAAGCGTTCATGCGTCGCTACAGATCTCGTTGTTTGGTGTTCTGGATCAATTCCACTGATGATATTACTCTATACTATTGTCTTAGGCCATTCATCATCATTTCTCTTGGTCTTCCTCTGCCTATTCTACCAGTGATCTTCCCAGTCGTCACGATATTTTTCCCATGCTCCTTTTGTCATTACATGACCTAAGAACTCTTATTTTCTTATCTTCTTCTCATTGTTGTATACACTGTTGTACTTTCATTCGCCATTTTCCAGGCATTCAGTGTTGGTTGTTCTGGCAGTCTAAGGTACTCACAACATTCTTGTCAGGAACCACATTTTAGTTGCCTTCAAACTCTTCTTAATTTGTTTGCTTACATTCCAAGATTCACTACCATACAACAAAAGCCGTCGTGATGTAGCGGACAGACTGCGGACAGTCTGCGAATTCGGGAGTCGTTGATTCAAACCATATATGACCTTGGCTCCCATGTCAACCCAGCCCTAATCGGGTAGCAGGTGTAAAGTGCCCTGAAAACTAGAGAAGGTCGGCGTGATCTTGGCCACATCACCAGTCAAGATTCCATAGGAACATCAGTCTAGCCTAATAAGCCCTATGCGCCACTGGCCTGTAAAGGGCTTTACTTTGCGGACACAACGTTGTATTTTTAATTTTAACAGAACAAAAAAGGTGTATAAAAATTATTTATTTGCTATTCCTAATTTGACAGTTTCTTAGCATTTACTTTTGAATGATATGATTTCAAATTCCACAATCAAATTAGTATTAAAGGTTAGTTGCGTATCATTTACAGGACGTTGCAGAACCAACCCCAACAGCACCTGGCTGTTGTGTGGTTTTGTAGGAAAATTTAAGTCCAGTAGTTTGCCATTGCTTACTGGACGGTCGGCTTTCTTGATACCACTGTTGAAACCAAAACAAGGCGCATGGCCCACAGCTGGGATCGAACCCGGCATCCCGGCATTACGAAACATTCGCATCGACTTAGCCACAGAGCTGACAAATTAATATTACTAACCACAGTTGCCAGAAGATAGCATCATTTGGCCCTAAAGATGTCGCTCGCGTCTTTTCTCATGCTCCAATTTTCACTCACTTTCCCAAATCGAGCGTGCTTCCGGAATACGACAACAACCGGCTTCAGACATGCGCACATGCATACAGCTTGAGAGATTGGGTACACTTTTTTTTTTTCAGTTACGTCCCTAAATTTCGCCTTTTAACCTCCCTTCTCGACTGACATGACCAATTTTCTAGAAGTCGATTTTTTACTCCGTCCACACGGCCACTTTTATTCGGAAACGGGTATATTTCTTTCTAGGATAAAAAAAGTTTAAGATCGAGGGAGTTATTTCCCTGTGTGGGTTTAGAGACCCTATTCTAGGGTGGGGGGGGGGAATAATAGATCCCCACCCCAATAAGCATGACGTACAAGGCGACTAAAAAGGGATGTTTCTTGCGAAGGTGGAGTGCATCTGCCTGGGAGGCTATAAAACAACAGTCTGCACACAGAAAAGACAAATAGGTGTGCACAAAAATGTTCAAGTTCCGAGGCTAGATCAAGGTTCAGAAGTAGACGAAGAACCAGAAATTCTCGCAAGGGTTTATAGCCAGTGAACGCTCAAAAGACGGACGTTGATCAACTTCACTGAACCAAGTTTTTGGTCCCATAAGGCTGCATTCTTTTCCGTAGAACGAGTAGCGGTCCACCAAGAGTGTCGACCAAAGCCTGAAGTCTGTTGAGGAACATTCGTAAAGTGTGTAACTTCACATTTTTGAATGTACATGCATACTATCGTATGCATACGTGTAACTTTAGACAGACAGACAGGTGGGTCGGTGGATGGGTGGTGGGCGGGGAAGATTTAGACAGAGATACATTTAGACATATAGACATACAGAAAAATGGACAAACGGATGGACAGACGGACAAACAGTCAGACCGACAAATAGGTGACATACAGACATACAAACAGGCAGATAGACATACATAAGGATAGATAGATTAGATAAATAGATAGATAGACAGACAGACAGACAGACAGACAGACAGACAGACAGACAGACAGACAGACAGACAGACAGACAGACAGACAGACAGACAGACAGACAGACAGACAGACAGACAGACAGACAGACAGACAGACAGACAAATAGGTGACATACAGACATACAAACAGGCAGATAGACATACATAAGGATAGATAGATTAGATAAATAGATAGACAGACAGACAGACAGACAGACAGACAGACAGACAGACAGACAGACAGACAGACAGACAGACAGACAGACAGACAGACAGACAGACAGACAGACAGACAGACAGACAGACAGACAGACAGACAGACAGACAGAGACAGACAGACAGACAGACAGACAGACAGACAGACAGACAGATAGATATAGATAGATAGATAGATAGATAGATAGATAGATAGATAGATAGATAGATAGATAGATAGATAGATAGATAGATAGATAGATAGATAGATAGATAGATAGATAGATAGATAGATAGATAGATAGATAGATAGATAGATAGATAGATAGATAGATAGATAGATAGATAGATAGATAGATAGATAGATAGATAGATAGATAGATAGATAGATAGATAGATAGATAGATAGATAGATAGATAGATAGATAGATAGATAGATAGATAGATAGATAGATAGATAGATAGATAGATAGATAGATAGATAGATAGATAGATAGATAGATAGATAGATAGATAGATAGATAGATAGATAGATAATTAGGTAGGTAGAGTGCTAGATAAGCAGACTGACGTGTAGAAAGTGTTTTGAAATTTGAACAGTTTTTAGATATATAAATGTCTTGATCTATATGTTAGTAGATGAAAAGGTCAGCAGATGAATATGTAAGTTGAGTAGATGAATAGGCCTACTTAGATTTATGTGTAGGAAGATAATGGATAGACATAAAAACATTTGTAAACAATTTTAATGGATATGTAAATTGCATTTTAATTGGAAAGTAAATTTGATAGGTAGATAAATTGACGAGTATATGTATATGTAGATTGATGTACAGAAGGATAAGTAGATAATTAGGGCGGAAATAACTTGCCAGTATAGTGCACTTCATGTCTTTTTTTGTTTTGTTTGCGCAGGATCCTATGCAGGGGCGGTTCTGGGGATGCCTTTGAGTGGGATACTGACACGATACATCGGCTGGCAGTCAGGATTCTACTGTTTTGGTAAGTACTTCAAACTCAGGTCCTGGCTGTAGCCAGACAATCAATGTAACGTGTTGCTTAAACGTTTAGTTTAAAAAAAAAAATTATAGTAAGTGAGCACACACGCACCCACATAAAAAAAACCATCCACTTACTTAAACACGCATGTATACACACTCATATACACAAACCGATTAACATAGACACACCCACATATTTAAATACACATATACACACATGCATACATTAACGCATACAGATACATACATGCACTCACAGACACACCCATAGACACACACGCAGACTCACACATTCACACACAGATATACATGCAGAGACACAAACATGCAGACATACGCACGCAGACACACGCAGACATACACACACACACCCAGACACATACATGCAGACACACACGCACAAACACACACTGACGCAGACACACACTCACACACACAGAGATACAGATACACACATACAGACACATTCACAGACACAGAGAGAGAGAGAGAGAGAGAGAGAGAGAATGCGAAAGAGAAAGAGAGAGAGAGAGAGAGAGAGAGAGAGAGAGAGAGAGAGAGAGAGAGAGAGAGAGAGAGAGAGAGACTACGTAAAAAGGAGTGAAAACGAACGATATTTTCAGAGTTACGAATTAGGCAATCGAACATTATGCCCGTCTATTGTAAAATAGTTTTTATAAACACTGGAATATACTCCAATTAACTCTTAACTCATTTGGTAATACTGTGTGGGTTCCTGGGCGCCATCGTGGTGAAAAATAAGAATAGACCCACTGCCTTTACAACAAGAATGTGCTAAGAGTCGACTAAATCCGAGCTTCGCAATCGGTGTGCATCTGCCCAAGAGGCAAGGAACCAGGGGTCTGCTTACAGTTAAATCAGATCTGTAAAGCGTTTGTGCATACAACACTCAGTTCTGGAAGAAAACTGTAGTCCGCCGGAGTTTACAGCCGCTGAATGTGAGGAAGAAAAAGTAGCATGTCCAAAGGAATGAAACTATATGCTGGCTATACTTTTATCTTTTGGAGACAAATGTAGTCTGTACTGGAGTAGAACTGAAACAGATTATGAGTGTTCAATGTGTAAGCATAGATTAATTATAATATTTATCAGGGCTAGTAGTAACATTGATGTGTTGTCGAATGTCACGCCACAGTTGATCTATGGAGTCTCCATTCGTTTTGTACATACGTATACTAGGTTTAGGGTTATGTAAGAATATGAAACACACACACACACAGAGAGAGAGAGAGAGAGAGAGAGAGAGAGAGAGAGAGAGAGAGAGAGAGAGAGAGAGAGGATTAAGGTATGTTGGATGAGTCTGACACAGTTGATAGCATTTTGGTTCTACGTGGTTATGAAACTAATGTATAAGAAATGAGGATCGTTCCTGTTTGAATCCACTTAAAACACTGTGTTACAATCAGCTGATCCTCTTAAGACGTCAGTAAAGACACACAGGTAGCTCCCATACCTTCCATTTAATCTCCTGGTGATAACTGCCAAACCGGGTTTTCATTGTGATGATTGCCATCTGAAGGTTTCGCAGTTGGCACAAAAGTGGACTGGGAGCCAAAACAACAGGGACAAATTAACGGGGCAAACCAGCAGGGACAAACCAACAACAATTTAACAGCAGGTCCTTTACAGAACGTCGCTCCCGTCACGACACACCCAAAGTCTCTCTTTCTCTAGCTATTTCTCCAGCCCTGTATGCTTTAACAGCCTATGCATCTGCAATGTCTTGTTGCGGCTTACACGAACACATACCCCTGTCTCGTTTTTCGGAAATCTAATCCTCCATCACTGTTCTCCGAAGGCCACCACAGCGTTGAACGTGCCAAAGTGCCTTAGCTGTGTCTATGAAACAGTTCCCTTCAATGCTCATTTCATGCAGAATTTCGTTGTTTCTCTACTTCGTGGTCCATAGTATTCTAAGAATTTGTCTGCAGTACTTCAATTACCCTGTGCTTGTTTTTTTTTTTTTTTCTCTAATTTGTTTCAAATGTTTAATATATGTTAGTGAGCCGGCACGCGATTATGCGCTGTCACCACATGCCATAATAATTTCTTTTAAGTCATGGTTTGGAGAAAATGGTGGCCCCGGGGGGGGGGGGGGGGGGGGGGATCGGGGTGGGGGGCGGATTTGCGACTCCGTCGCGAAGTGGTCAGGTCATTTGTTGACTTTAAATTCTCGAATACTGGGGAGACATAACCGAAGCGAATGAGAAAAAATAGCATTATTATTAATAATAATACAATTAATATTGTTATTATTATTATTATTATTAGTAGTAGTAGTAGTCGTAGTTGTTGTTGTTGTAGTGGTGGTGGTGGTGGTGGTGGTGGTGGTGGTGGTAGTAGTAGTAGTAGTAGTAGTAGTAGTAGTAGTAGTAGTAGTAGTAGTAGTAGTAGTAGTAGTAGTAGTTGTTGTTGTTGTTGTTGTTGTTGTTGTAGTTGTAATAGTAGTTGCATAAATAGTAGTAATAGCAGTAGTGGTAATAAAAGATTAAGAGGGGGAGGTGGAGGAGAAGGAGGATTAGGAAGAAGAAGAAGAAGAAGAAGAAGAAGAAGAAGAAGAAGAAGAAGAAGAAGAAGAAGAAGAAGAAGAAGAAGAAGAAGAAGAAGACAGAAGAAGAAGAAGAAGAAGAAGAAGAAGATCGAACGAAGAAGAAGAAGAAGAAGAAGAAGAAGAAGATCAGAAGAGAGAAGAAGAAGAAGAAGCAGAAGAAGGAAGAAGAAAGAAGAAGAAAATAAGAAGAAGAAGAAGAAGAAGAAGAAGAAGAAGAAGAAGAAGAAGAAGAAGAAGAAAAGAAGAAGACGAAGAAGAAGAAGAAGAAAGAAGAAGAAGAGAAGAAGAAGAAGAAGAAGAAGAAGAAGAAGAAGAAGAAGAAGAAGAAGAAGAAGAAGAAGAAGAAGAAGAAGAAGAAGAAAGAAGAAGAAAGAAGAAGAAGAAAGAGAAGAAGAAGAAGAAGAAGAAGAAGAAGAAGAAGAAGAAAGAAGAAGAAGAAGAAGAAGAAGAAGAAGAAGAAGACGAAGACGAAGAAGAAGAAGAAGAAGAAGAAGAAGAAGAAGAAGAAGAAGAAGAAGAAGAAGAAGAAGAAGAAGAAGAAGAATGACGGAGGAAGATTAGTAGCAGCACCAGAATTTAGGAGAGATCTACACATCCAGTGATTTTTATATGGCTTGTTGCTGTCAGTGATAAATAGCGACGTGTGAAACCTGTTATTTCGATTTTCATAAACACTGGAAATAAAACCTGGATTATTTTACGTTACAACAGCTCGACTTCGGTGATGGAAGAAGCTTACATATGCTTTTAGAGACGAGCCTTCATTGATGTCTAAATGCTGTTGCTAGAAAGTTTTAATTTACTGTTTTTTCTTCTTCTTGGAATATGCGGATAAATGTTTTTTTTAGAGGAGTGATGAGAATATCCTGGACACATAAAAAGAATGATGAAGATGTCTAGTGAGACACTGACTCATCAAAATAACTGATTTCCCAAACGAGAAAGAGATAATCTACATTCTTCAGTCATGTCATGAAAGGAGAAAACGGGAATACATCGTGACAGTAGGAAACTTGGACGGCAAGAGATGCAGAGGGAGACCGAGAGCAACGATGCTGGATAGTTAAACATCATGGCATGTAGTAGTCGAAGTACGTTTCACTCCACCAGGACATCACACAAGCGATAAACACCCGATGACACAGAGTGCCACCATGTGAATGAGGATCACCGTGGAGAGGTCCCAGAAACCGCGTTCAGACAATTGGCCATATTAATGGCCTGCCTATATTGCGGCAAAAGCCAGAGTGGGGTTTCAAATAACAAAAGATTTTCTCCTACAAAGGACGAAATTAGATAAAATGGTGGGGGGGGGAAGGGGGGGAGTCATCTTTATTAATTGAAAGTCCAAAAAAAGGGGGGGGGGGGGGGGGGGGTTGTAGATAGATACTGCTGCTACACGGCCGGGACTTTGAAAAGAAGAAAAGGAAGTATACCAGGAATATTAGTATATAATTCTAGGAAGGAACTGCAAATATCATGTGTCTTTTATATAATTTTCTATTATCTGCATCTTGAACACCCAAACTTCCCTTCCAAAACGCACCAGTCAAGCATTTAAAGGGCGACAACAGATTGCAAAAAGAAAGGGGAAAGAATTCTCATAAGCCTCGAATCACTATCGTGAGCTCTTGAGAACAAAATAGCCAAGGGCAATAATAAGGGATCAATCTGGATCATCTTCTGGCCCCCTGACATGTTGGCAATACTCTCATTTTTTTTCATTCTTTCCTGATCTGAGGAAATTTCACTCAGAGAGAAAGCTTGTCATAAGAGGCGAGCAGGAAAGAGACGTGAAAGGAAGGCCAAGTTTATTATATATAGATGTTTTAGCCCTACGTATGAATTGAGCATTCTTTCTTCAAGTAGGTTGTTGGTGTTCTGCTCTCCCTAGCAGTAACAGAAATTTAGTAATAGCAGCAGCAATAGCAGCAGCAGAACCAATAGTAGGAGTAGTAGTAATATTAGTAGTGTAGTAGTTGTAGTAGTGACGAAACATCTGATTGAAGATAAAAAATAACTCTAGACATTTAAAGAATCTTCAGCAAAAGAACGGCGCCGCCGTGGTGTGACGGCTAGACACTCACCTGCGGATTAGAAAGTCGTGGGTTCGAGTCTTGACGGAGCCAAACATTTTTTGGGGGGGAAAATGACCTTGGCTATTAGGTGAACGCAGCTTTGAGTGTGTATCATTTAAAAGTCTTACGAATTAAAAGTGGCCTGCGGGATGCTGACCACATCACCCACCAACCTGCGGGATGCTGACCACATCACCCACCAACCTGCGGGATGCTGACCACATCACCCACCAACCTGCGGGATGCTGACCACATCACCCACCAACCTGCGGGATGCTGACCACATCACCCACCAACCTGCGGGATGCTGACCACATCACCCACCAACCTGCGGGATGCTGACCACATCAC